TAGTGAAGAGAGAGGGAGGGAGGAAAAAATGCCCTGGGTAGGAATTGAAAAAAAAATTTTAATTAACGAGTAGGGTTGCTAATAAAGATCTAATTAAGAGTCGAGTGGTTGTCTCCTTGCTAACTAGATATCTTTTCCCACATATATATAGAGGTTTGAGTAATAAACAAGGCGAGACTGCATTGTGCTTAAATGGCACTGTTATTGAGTAAATGCTGTGTCAAAATGTTTATTTATAAAAACCACATTGCATAAAAAAACTTAAGAACGGATACGAAAAATAGTATTGGAACAGTTAACACAATAAAACCAGGAGGGGTTATTGATATTTTAGATATAACACATAAGTTTTGCAAAAAATTGTAGGTGAGTCTAGGAACAAAAGTACCATAAAAGATATCCACTATCCTACCCCAATCATAAGAGAAATGAATTAAGATACTATTTTAATATACTATCTTACACTAAATTTGAATTCACACACAGTTTTTAATTTTCATTTATAAATCTTTTAGTGTTCTAAAGTTATGACCATGTAAAATTTACAACTCCCTCGATTTGGGGATGTTGGAAACCTTAAATAGTCAAAACCATTAAACACTAAAAAATTTTTTAGTTTAAATTGAACTTCATACTCTTTATAATATATAATAATATAAAACACAGCTAAGTACTAATTTTTAATTTATTCACGTAATATTTCAGACTAATTAGTTCATACCATCATCAGACATAAAATTAAAAAAATTATTTTTTTATTTATAAATTATTACGCTTGATGATCGTCTAAGTTAATCAGACTGAAACATCATAAAAAAAAAATTTAAAATAAGTAAATAAAGTATTTTATTTCAAGTATTTAAATCGATGCTCACATTTAGGTACTAAATATTTTTTTTATGACAATCAGGACACAGCCAATTCTTTTTTGGTTTATTATTCAATTTTAGGCATACCAAGTGAAAAAGTTTAATTTTGCAACTCTTTCCTGCACAAGGAAATAACTCACCATTTTCATTGCCATTACAATAACAATATAAATTGTGATCATCAATAAAGTCAAAATCCATATTTTTGGTATCTCTTGTAAAAAATTTACCAACTAATTCTGGCAAGATAGAACTGCTAAATACTTGCTGACACTTAGTAACGCAGGCTGTCCATATAGAATTATCTGGATAAACTCTTTCTAAGTGATAATCTTTAGATGTATTTACAAAAAAATCACAAAACTTTTTTTTACATGTATGCAACTGAGTTTGAATTTGAAAGTAATATGGGTGTGTTTGTTTGAGCTTTTTTTCAGTGTTCATTATTTGTATACAAAATGTCTTATCTTTACCAATAGCTTCTAATATAAAATTGTCTTTATGGTTAGCAGGATTTTTAATTTCAACACATCCTTCACCACAGCATTCACAAGATATTAAAGCAACAGGAGAAGCACCTATGAAAGGATACTCTGTCGATATAAAAAAACCACACTTTATAATTTTGAAATTAACATGATGATGTTTTACAATATCAAAATATTTTGCTAAAGCAATCTTTTCATTGTCTATTCCCCATTTAGTTTGACATGAACTAACTTTGTAACTTTCAGGGTAACAAATTTTTTAAATTAATGATAAAGCAGGCATGGCTTCAAGCGTGCGTAATACACTATACATGTTTGATGCTGTAATTCTCCCTGCTCGAAAATAAAACCATTTTTTTGAAAAAACTTGCTCTCTTGTAGCTTTCTCAACATTAAACTGCTCAACCTCCGATACAGACAAAGTTAAAGTTTCACATTGTTTACATAAATCTAGGTAACTAAGAGATAAAGCTGAAGAATCATAAAGTTCCCGCAACATTTTTGGAAATTGCAATTTTAACGATGAGGGTTGGTAATCTACACTGTAAGGGGATATAATCGACAAAATAGCTGGCTTTTGACTTGCAGAGGCTCAGATCATTGAAAAATGCATCAAGTTCATTCTGAGTTGGAGGAGTGCAATTATAACTACTTGATAATGCATCGCTTTTTTTATCTTTTAGAAATCCACTACAGGTAGATTCGTTTAATATTTCTTCATCAAATTTTTGTTTTAAAGTATTTGGGGAGGTAGAATCTATATCAATGCATTCTGCATATGGAATATCTTTGATTGAAGATGGAAGCATCCAATATGCTTTTTTTTCTGTAACTGTCTTAGAATCACGAATTCTGACAGCAGCATCAATATAAAATAAAACTGCTCCAATGTGAGAACATGCCTCTCCGAGACCAGCCATGCAGTTACAATGAGCATATATTACTTTACCATCCATTTACCATCAGAAATACTCCATGAGAAATACTCCATCCATCAGAAATACTCCATACCATCAGAAATACTCCATACCATCATCCATCCATACCATACCAAATACATCAGAAATACTCCATACCATCAGAAATACTCCATCAGAAATAATCCATGTTGAAGCTGCCGTTTCTTTATGCTTTTGAGAATGA